AAGGAAAATTCAATCTAGAAAAAGTAGCAGAATTAAATTTAATCCTATTTCTACAGATCCCACAAAAAATGAGGCACAAATGACAGCCAAAGAGAAAATGAAAGACTCTGTGGGACAAATCTAAAGCTGTTTTAAGGGGCTGCTATTTATTCCTTCAAGACCCCAGGTCTCTTGGCATTTTGTGGGTATAATTGCGGGTATAATTGCCTTTTGTCAGCAGTGATGGCCAGAGATGCACACTGTAGCATCCTCTGTCCCCTAAGCTTTTCCAGCCACCTCTCCAGACCGTAGTTTATCCAGCCCTCTAGCTCTGAAATGTATCTTGGAAGCTCCCTTTCTGCATTTGCGCTCCACTTCCTTACCCTCAATTCCTTCCCAGGCATAAAATGGCAAGATCTCTCACCCTGAGAAGACAGTGAGGAGCCCCACAGGCCCAGTTTGCATTCTGAGCTAAGTGCATGGCCCACCATGGAGGTAAATTGGAAAAACTTCCCTGAAGCGGTGAACTTGGAATGGTTCAAGTCAAGCATAGCTCAAGTCAGGTTCATCCCTGGCTTCTGTCCTTTTTTCAGTGAGGAGACGCTGGCACTACTTTTCTTCATGTGTGCCATGTTATAATCCCTCTGGCTACAGTTCTCTCTTCTCTCTATTTTTATCCAAGAACACACCAAGTCCTAGGACTTTCTCATCAACATCCATTAGCCATGGCCAAAACTGCCGTCCAATGGCCTCTGGAGAAGCAAACTCATCAGGGGACCCATTTTTAGTTCCTTGTCCCATCACACCCCAAGGAAGTGGCCATCACGCACCAGCTCTGTGGGCATTTTCAGGGTGTGCTGAGTGCTATTGGGGGTGTTCTGCCCTATGGTCCCCTTAGTTCCCTTTTTTTTTTTTTTTTGTTTTGTACACTTTTGTCCCTCAGCCCTTTTCCTTTTTTCATTTGTCATCCACTGTAATTATTAGGTTTTCTCTTTCTGTAATCCACTCTGGTTTTTGTTGGGTTTTTTTTTTGTTTGGGTTTTTTATTTTTAAACCAGAGAAGTATTAAGGTTTCTAGAGGTGGTCTGGTTTCTCCATTATAAAGGAAAATCGATAGGAGCAGTGGCCATGAGGGGCAGGGATGCTGTCCCTGCACATCTCCTGCCTGGCAGTGAGAGGCGACAGCTGGCTCTGATGCCTCCTCTGATGCCCACACACTGCACAACCAGTGCCACCACTGCTGCCACCATCCCCACCACTGCTGCTGATGTCCCGCCCCCCTCTGCCCCAAAATGTGTGGGGCTGCAGCACGGGCACCTCTGCCCACCCCTGGCAGCCAGACCCACAGGAGCTCTGGGGTGGGAAGGGCTGTTTGATGGGACCAGCTGCTGTTCCTGGGATGGGGATGGGCAGATCTTGGGCAGATCTGCTGTGTGCTGCCAATTTCAATCTGCAAGTGTGCTCTAGGGAGGTCTGGGAAGCACTGTTACAAATTACATATCATGTTTGTTCACAAAAAAGCAAAACAAACCAAAACTCAAATAATCTCGGTACTGGATAATCACAGAATCACAGAATCTTCTAGGTTGGAAGGGACCTCAAAGATCATCTTGTCCAACCGTCAACCTAACTGACAAAAATAGACACCCGCACAACAAACAAGAAGCATCACCATCACTAAACCATACCTCCCAGCACTACATCAACCCCTCTTTTGAACACCTCCAGGGATGGTGCCTCAACCACCTCCCTGGGCAGCCCATTCCAATGCCTGATAACCCTTTCAGTGAAAAAATTTTTCCTAATATCCAGGAATAATGAAGCTTCCAGATCGAAGGTGCACATTTGTCACACTGAAAGCACTAGTGATGCTGAGAGGGACTTCAGTGACAAAAAGCCATGTGAAACAAAGCAACTTTGGAAAAGATGTATGTGCAATGAACACTACTTTTTCTTCCTTACAGCTTCAGTTTGTAAGTGACGATCGTTCAGAGTTTATTGCTTTTGTAGCTGCTGTTGTTAAATGTCTCTTACACACGTAATTTGCCATGCAGAACTTCCACATCAACAATACGGGCTAATTGCACTGTGGAAACCAAGACAACCTCCCTTATCCTAATTCATGTAGGCACGTTATAAAGAACTCTAAATAAATATTTATACTATATTTATAAATATTTATAATATATTTATAAATATTTATAAATATGTTCCTTAGGGTAATCAATGTCTGGAGTTTTTACACAGTTCTGTGGCAATAAGAGTAAAAAGTAGGAAAGGCTTCAATGATCATGTATTAAAACATAATTTGAGTATTACCTGTGAAAGAAGGGGTCACGGAGAAGACATTGTATACCAGACCAAATAGGCAGTGGATCATAATGGATCTTTTTTAGCCATATCACTGCTTCCACGCTGCTAACATCCTATGCTAGAATCGCTTATCTGGAGAAAGCACTGCCCCCAGCCAGGCCTCACCTCCTCATCACCTCTAAGGTGCAAGATGCTGCCACCACTTAAAATCATAGAATCACAGAATCATAGAATGGTTAGAGTTAGAAGGGACCTTGAAGATCATCCAGTTCCAACCCCCCTGCCCTGGGCAGGGACACCTCCCACCAGACCAGGTTGCTCCAAGCCCCATCCAGCCTGGTCTTGAACCCCTCCAGGGATGGGGCAGCCACAGCTTCTCTGGGCAACCTGTTCCAGTGTCTCACCACCCTCACAGGAAAGAATTTCTTTCTGGTATCTGATCTAAATCTCCCCTCTTCCAGTTTAAAACCATTACCCCTTGTCCTGTCACTACACTTCCTGACAAAGAGTCCCTCCCCATCTCTCCTGTAGCTCCCTTCAGGTACTGGAAGGCTGCTAGAAGGTCTCCCCGGAGCCTTCTCTTCTCCAGGCTGAACAACCCCAGCTCTCTCAGCTTGTCTTCATAGGAGAGGTGCTCCATCCCTCTACTTCTCATCTGCCAGCATAATTACACAAACAGTTTCCCCATAACCGAATTTAATCAAGATGACAGACATTAGGATCTGGCTACAAATTAGTGTGATAAAAACCTCTCCACATCAGTGCTTCCCCTTTAGTTCAATACAAATGTGGTACAAAAAAGTAGACCTGAGTCTGACCCAGACTGAACTGAGAGTTCAGGCAGCTTCACCCACAGGGGACTCGGGTCCCTAGCAGATAAGACACTGGTCTCTGAAATCAGTGGGTGCTCTTCTGACTGAAAAATAAATAGGTTTTTTTCTCAGCAACTGAAAATAAAACTACAGAGGGTAAAGAAACAAGAGTTGTTAAATTGTTAGTATAACCATTTCTGATATGGACTCCAAAATGCTGGAGGAACGTACTTATTATGAGCTTATGTGGTCACAGCACCCCATCTGTAGCTGTTTCCTAGGGTGTGTAATTCTAAATGCATTCAGCATAAACTGATTCAGCATTATCACTTCTCAAATCTTTACTAATATTAAAAGAAGGCTGTAAAATTATATGGGAAAAGCAAAAAAAATGAATGCTCCAAAGTTATATAAAAAGTAAATGAATGAATCCTTAAATAACCAGCATTCCCTCACATTATAATCCACTAGAGATACAATCTCCTCTGCAAATAACATCTTCCCTTTTCAAATAAAATACCACAATCATTTTAAATGGTGGAAACAGAGCAGAAAGAGAACTGCAAGGTTTGCTTGGCTCTCCAAGGACAGTTTTTAACATACTCTTTAGCTGAGGCAATTAGTGAGCTACAGGAGTTCACTTCAAAGTATGATTTTCAAGCTCTTCTTCAAAAATATAGTCGATTTTCATATGCCACAAAGTCTTTATACAGAAGTATTTTACGTCCTGATTCAAACACCACTGAAATTGATGGCCACTGATGACTACTCTCAGGTGCAATCAAATGATTTACTAAATTGGCTAAAAAAAGAAATAAATTACAGTTATACTCTAAAAAAAAATAAAATTACAAGTTTTAAAGAAATGTTATTATAACTGTGAAGATACATTACTGAACTCAAGTCTTCACATCATGCACCAACATAATGCATTTGTTCAGCTTAACAACAAAAGAAAATGGGGTACTTCCTACAGAGAAGGAATTAAACATTTTCTTTTTTGGCTGAAAAAAAAAAGTGTTAAGGAAAGAAATATAATTTCATTTGATTTAAAAGTTGCCAATTGCACTGCAAGATTTTGCCTTTCAGAGCCTGAAGCACTGCCCAACAGCCACCCAGGTGCTATAAATCCCTTAAGTATCCATTTATATTAATTGGAAGGAAAAGCTTGGGGTCCAGCTTTCTGTTTCTTCCTAATTTGTCAAGTACTAGAGAAGGCAGTGTTACTTTCTAGTGTGTTTGGGGGGCTTTTTTTTTTTTTCTTCATTTTCTATGACTTCAGACACCAAAATGAACAGTTTGAACCGAAAGTGTAAGACTGAGAATTACAACAGAACAGCTGGGTGTCTCCAAATTCCCAGAGGCTGAACTAGTTCTGGCAGTCACCTCTGGTAACCTGGTCTTTACTGGGGAACAAACACACACACACACACACACACCCTTCCTTTCTCAGCAGAAAGAAGCAAATCCATTAAAAACACCTCTGTGCTTGACTTGGTTTAAGCTGCTCGCTGCCTGTTGACATATCCCTGTGGTTTGTCATAAATTCTATTTAGGGTCTAAAACCTTCTTCTAATTAATGAGATTTCGGTACGTGGGCTGTTATGGAGCCATCCCAGAGGTGCAGAAGCCAGGACTAAACCCTGTTCTTGCAGCTGGCACCCTGGAAGTTGGAGGCCCAGGCTCACCCATCTCCAGAAACCCTTTAAGTTAGTACCAACCAGACTTGCCATCAGCCAGTGATGGAAGGAGAAGTATGGGCCATTCCCAAGTTGGAATGAGGGGATTGCAAATGAGGGATAACTTATCAGAGGGGTACTTCACCTTTCATGCCAGCTCTAGCTAGCTTTAGCCCAAGCTGCAGAGACCTGAGAAGGGGCAACCAAGCTTTCCTACCTGTCGGCGCTGAGGGTGGTGAGGGTGAAGACAGAGACACCAACAGAAGTCAGCTGGATGGCAGGGATGAGCTTGCAGCCCACCTCCCCGAAGAGCCACTCCTCGGAGAAATACCGGGAGGCATCCACGGGCACGCAGGTCACCAGCAGCAGCAGATCACCAGCAGCCAGGCTGGAGATGAAGATGTTGGGCACGCTCCTCATGGCGCTGTTGGAGATGAAGATCTTCATGAGGGTGACGTTGCCCAGCAAGCCCACGGTGATGATGAGCAGGTAAAGCGAAGGGATGACACAACGGATGACAAACATGGCCGTGCCCTGCCCTGGGGGCATCAGGGCCGTGTCTGGCCCCAGCCGGGTGCTTCCATTCTCCCCGAGGGACATTGCTGTGAGCTCGGGTGGCAGCTCGACCTCCATCCTCCAGCTTCCAGCAGGTTGAAGGTCTTCAATGCCAACTGTAGCAGGAACCGCCGGAAAGCTTCACCTCTCTGCGAGTCAACTAACTTTCTCCCCTTTCCCTTCCTGCCTTTCTTCTCCCCCTTTTTTTTTTCTTTTTTTATTCTCTGCCGAGTTTTCTCCCCTCAAGAACGCAGAGGAAGCACCGTC